GGCAAAAAACTAACTCTGATAGCCCCTTAAACTAGGCTCAGGGACAGGTCCTCCTTTTATGTGTGTAGGATAAAAATAAGGCTAATAAAGGACGGTCTAAGAAACAACTTCAGGGAAACAATTTAAAGAGGTTCTTTTAAAAAGTGGGGAGGGATGAAATTATATGGATTTCAGGGAGGTACATGACCTGCACTATAGGGCCCACCACAGTATGCTGTGTTTGCCTGCCCTTTTCAGATGCAAGAGCAGTGACCCCAAACAATGGGCTATATATGAGAAGAAATACCTGCCAGTACAGTACAGTGGGAAGCAGTTAATTTTAAAAAGATTTGGGGGTCATGGTGAATAATCAGCTGAACATGAGCTCCCAGTGTGACGCTGTGACCAAAAAAGCTAATATGATCCCGGGGTGCATAAACTGAAATCTCAAAGAGGAGGAGAGAGGATATTTGACACTGGTGCCACTGCTGCTGAATACTGTGTCCAGTTCTGGTGTCCACACTTCTAGAAGGATGTTAATACATTGGAGAGGGTTCAGAAAAGAGCCTTGAGAATGATTAAAGGCGTAGAAAACATGCCTTATAGCAAAAGACTCAAAGAGGTCAATCTATTTAGTTTAATAAAGAGAAGGTTAAATGGTGACTTGATTACAGTCTAAATATCTACATGGGGAACAAATATTTAATAATGGGCTCTTTAATCTAGCAGAGAAAGGTATAACATGATCCAATGGCTGGAAGTTGAAGCTAGACAAATTCAGACTCAAAATAAGGCATACATTTTTATTGTGTAACAATAAATATGGCCTGTGTTATACAGGACACCATACTAGATGATCACAATAGTCCCTTCTGGTCTTGGAAACTAATTATCCATTTACATGTATAAATATGTCTTTTTACAGGTGCATTTCTGGAGACCCCTTTGAAATCCCTTACCAAAGACAGAAGATCAAGGAGAGTCTAGTGACAGTACTCACATATCACAGTGACAGAGAGCATTCCAGTTTCAAACTAATTTATGTTTAATGAGATATAATGGGAAATTAATACAAGGGGCGTGATTAAATATAACAAGTTGAACACAGGCTATGGACTCGTTATAGCAGAAAGTTCACCAAGAACAAGATACGGTCTGAGGGGGCACGTCAGGTGATTCTGAGCCAGCCAGCACAGATCCAAAAGCGGATATCAGACCAGGCTAGATAATGAATGTGCTGATTCACTGCCTTTCTAGGGCAGCCTCCACAAGATGGGCTCCAACACTCCTTAGACAGAAACCAGTGGGGAAGGCAGTGGTGACATTGCTGCTGGCCTCTGCTGGGATGAATCACCTTCCTAGTGCAGCTGCCCCTGCAGGGACAGGGGCAAGTCAATGCATACCACCCCTGTGCCTGCAGAGGTGAATCTGGCACAAGACCAATAATTTTGCACAAATCAGTTCAGTTCAAGTAGAAATCATAGTGTTCGTGTCCTCTAGCTAAGGATAGCTAGAGACCTTTTATTGGTACTTTATTTTTTCTGAATAACGAAGGGATAAGGTACATACAAACCACGTAAGTACTTTTCACACAATGTTCGTGTGTTTTTCTTATCAACTACATGATAAAGGAAGAGTATAAACTGACAGTAATAAGACCAAGTTTTAGATTTGTCTGATCTGAACTGATATTTGTTCACCTCTTAGAAAGATCTTTACCACATACTTGTTTTTGAATTAAACGGACTAACGAGCAAGGTAAGAAACAACGGAAGTTCCTCTTCTGTTACTTGTTTTGTGAACAGGATTTCCATCATAACACTCATTTGTATCTCTTGCAAGCATCACAGAACATTACTATGTAATTTCTCATGTTTTAAGAAACCACTGATGATTGCTAGTGTGGAAGGAAGGGAGGAGTTTAACTGTGCATTAGTACGTGAGGCTCATTTGCTTTCCAAAAGAACAACTTTATTTCCTCTATAGTCTAACAGAAGAGCATTGCTCCTGGTAAATTTTCTGTCTTCACATAACAGGAGAAATGCAGATACTTAAGATGCTACTCTTTCAAAAAGCTAAATAAAAGCAATGTTATCTTGTCTAAATTCAAAATAAATTCAAATTAATGTAGCCTATTACAGCTGAAAATATAGGAAAAATAGGCAGTACTCTAAGTCAACCACCTTCTAAGGTAGTCTGCATAAAAACTTTCTTTGGGGAGAAGGAGGATACAAATCTTTGACTGCCATTCCCTGTCTTTGTTGTTAGAATTACACTGTATTTACTAGGAATAATCAAGTTTAGGCAAGAAAGACATGGAAAGAAGCCACACTTAAAAAAAACACTAAATACGCCTCATCTGTATTATCTGTTGGCCTCATTCCACTTTACAGATCCCTTTTAAATTTTGAATTATTTTGTTCAGACCCTTTTCCAGAAAGAAAGATCAAATACAATATTCTCTAATCAATAACATACTTCCTATGAAAACTGACAAAAAAATACAACACTTCACCACACGCAGCATTCTAGATGGCAAAGAGATTACCTCTTGCTGCACAGTATATTCTCTCTCACTGCTCATCAGTGTTCTGGTGGTCTGTTTTATTATATATGTAATGTTTTATTATTTCTATTTTAAATTCTTGGAAGGCTCTTAGATACTATGGTGATAGAGACCCTACAAGTAGATAGTTATGGGATTAACTGCTTCAAGGACCTTGCTAAAATCACTCAATCCTTTTTTATGGTCAGTATTAATCAATACTCAGACCTGCAATGCTCCAAAATGCCTTATCAATTGGAAACCAATTTTTTAAAGTATCTAACAGATCCTTCTGAGGAGTAAAACCAAAATGGCAGCTGAAAACTAGTGTTAGAAGATTTAATGGCTGCTATAATGCAGGATTCCATAAAGGTGGCAAGAATTAAATTTATTCCACTGTTTGCACAAAGATTTTGCTTTATTAAATAATACTTCCCAAACACTGATTCAGTCTGGGGATACAGGCATGGTTTACAATAAATGAGAATCTACAGTACCATCTGGAGTACATCCATAAGGGTGCTGCTTCTTTTTAAGTGGGGAGGTAGAGATTAGCTAACCTGCAGTGCCAACCAAATGAGCAATTCTGCCTTGTAAGTTGAATAGGTGTGAGAACTGCAAAGCAAAAGTGTCAGACAAGACCAAAATGTAATGTAAGGGAACTGGATGACCCACACTTAAAACGTATGGGGGTTACTGTGGCAGATTGACAATTTCCTGCAATATCCTAAATGAAATTTACTGAATTAAGTGAAACCTTACTGAATTAGGTTTAATATCTCTGGGTTGATTATTTAAAAATGTAATTGTGTATGTGCTATTGTGGAATTGTATGCAACTCCTCTAGGAAGAGGGGGATGCTAATATAATTCCTCCAGTTATCAGCCGTTTGAAGCCAGCCCCTGGAGAGATATATGCATATACCAATTAAACTGGATTCTCCAGGGATCAACATACAAAGAAAGGATTTTTGGATAAACAGCCTTATCTTAAACAGGCTCAGGGCTGCCTTCTTGATCCAGCAAACGGATAGAACCTCTCATGGAGGGCCCCAATCCTTATGGAAATATTAGAAGGACTTGGCCTACCAAGGCCCTTAAGGAATACCGTAGCTGAAGTCGACATATCTTATTCCGACTTACCTCCGGTCCTCACGGCGCGGGATCGATGGCAGCAGCTCCCCCATCGACTCCGCTACCGCCACTCGCTCCGGTGGAGTTCCGGAGTCGACGGGGAGCACATTCGGGGATCGATATATCGCGTCTTAACGAGACACGATATATCGATTCCCGATAAATCGATCGCTATCCGCCGATACGGCGGGTAGTCTGGACGTACCCAAGTGCTTACTCTGAGCTGAAGCAATGATGAACTTGAAACCATAAATTTCAGGGTGAGGTGTTGAAGGACTGGTCTTGCCAGAGCCCATGTTAGAATTAGTGTGATCTCTGGTAAGCTTATTAGCATGCAGATAGGACTTTTATTGTTTTTAATATGTTTCCTCTGTAGTGCTTTTACCTTAAGAATAATATAGCGTGCTTAAAAAGAGCTGTGTGGTATCTATAATTGTGAGGAATCAGACTCTTAACCATCTCTGAAGAGAAAGCAAACTAGTGTGTTTGGGCAGCTGGTCTCTGCTGGGAACAACACAGTAAAGGCAGGGAACAGTGCAGCCTGGAAATACCATGGTCAGAAGGGAGGCAGACGCAGGTCTCCGCCGAAGAAAGGCAATGGCTGGGGAGCTAGCACCCTGAGAGTGGGTGCCTTGCTGGACTGTTGAGGGGAAATACACGTTCAGTTGTCCTGAACTGTGACAGTTACAATATCTATCCTGATCTTGTAAAATGCTCATTACCATAGTAAAAAAAAGTGTTTCTAGAAATTCTGGATGCTTGACGCATACATTTTTACGTTACAGAAAATCTGGTGCCAGAGTTTAGAGACCAAACTGGAAGCACGTTTGTGTCAGGATTATGCTTCTTTCTGTGAGCTAACCAAAAATTCACTGTTTAAGTCAAATTAAATATACCACAGCTTGATAAAAGTGGACTTGAAACTAACAGCTATGAAGAGTCTCCCATTTGTAAACAATTTCACCAGCATCGGCTTAGAAAATGAAATCTTGGGACAGCAAATGACCTGAAGCGGAACAACATACTAAAACAAGGTTTTATATTTTTAGCTCAACCTATACAGCAGATTCATTCGCATTTAGGTATCTCTCAAACAGAAACTGACCCATACACTCAGAAGCACCTCTGAACTGAACTAATGCAAAAATGTGTAGACACATCTTGCCATTTATTGAAAATCTGATATTTAGTCCCAAGTACTGCAGGTCTGAATCAGCTACTGGTCTTCTTAGAATTTGGGCTGACCGAGGTCAACAAGACAGAAAATCGTAAATTCCTCTTTATCTTGACAAAGAAGATGGGAAAACTGGGGGAATTGGCTACTAGGGAAAAAATGTACTTACCACTAGGTGGCTTGGGTCGTGGAGGAACATTTTTCTTCGGTGGGAGAGCTGGAGTGTCTGGCTTACTTTTAAAAGGGTCATCTGAGAATCCCATCCCTCCAAAAGAGGAGGTGAAAGGGTCTGAAGCTGTGGGCTACGAGATAAAGGAAAGGTAAACATATGCAGATAGTGAAGATGACCTGTTAACTTTATAGAAAGTAACTGAAAATTATTAACTCCTGTTTGAATTAACTCAGAAAAATGATAAGGAGTAAAATTCACAAAAGCACCTTAGAATCATAGAATATCAGGGTTGGAAGGGACCTCAGGAGATCATCTAGTCCAACCCCCTGCTCAAAGCAGGACCAATCCCCAACTACATCATCCCAGCCATGGCTTTGTCAAGCCTGACCTTAAAAACCTCTAAGTGACTAGGGAGTCTGAGTTCCATTTTCAAAAACACCTAACTCCTAATAATTTTCATTGGTACTTAGACCTTAAGTCACCTAAGGCACTTTTTACAATTTTTATCCCTAGAAAAATCCTGACAAGAGAGAAAGGGCACTTGGGGAATAATAAGGAGAAAGAATGGGAGATAAAACTGTATTTTAATCCTATTTTTATTGTATCCTTCTGTACAGAAACAGTAACTAATCTGGTATTTGGAGTACACCTCTACCTTGATATAACGCTGTCCTCGGGAGCCAAAAAATCTTACCGCGTTATATTGAACTTGCTTTGATCCACCGGAGTGCGCAGCCCTGCCCCCCCCCCGGAGCACTGCTTTACCGTGTTATATCCGAATTCGTGTTATATTAGGTCGCGTTATATTGGGATAGAGGTGTACTGGATGCAGTAAAATGTACTCACTGTGTACATACCTATTGAAAATTTCATATATAAAAAAGGACTATTTCACAGCTGTCACATCACAGCTTTTATACACCACTTCTTTTATGCAGCAAAGAGTCCTGTGGCACCTT